GAAAAAAAAGCTAATCAAAACGTACTATAGATATGTTCGAATGGTAGAAGCTTTTTCTTGTGGAAGGAGGGGCGAGCTTTATGAAGGATAGCATGTGCCAGCTGCCAGGTGGGTATCGTAGGCGGTGCGCTGATCGCTCCTCCCCTTTTTTAGCCATGGAATGCGTTGCAACTATTGGAAAAATCTCTAATTTTCGTTCAAGCTTCTTCAGTTTAATGCAGTTTGGAATTTATACAATAGATTCAAAAATTCCACTTATTTTGGAAATCAGCTTTCAGAATCATTTTTCATTGTAGATTAGTTCGCAAGCTCTTTTTTGATCCATTCAATTATTTCCCAGTAGGTTGGTCCATGAAATTTTCATTGTGAGTATGAGGAAAATTTGTTTGGAAACTGCATAAAAATTTCATTACTTTTTATTCACATCTGTTGCTACACTGAACATACGAAATCATTCGTTTCATGCGGCCGTATCACAGATTTGCAGAATTCAGGACCACACTTTACTCAAAATACTGTGAATCTGCTTCAAGAAAAAATGCTTTTTTTCTGCTTCCAAAACTGTTACCCTCGACAATGGCTCGGCAGGGTAAGACCCGTGTTAAACAGCGTTACAGAGTAGAAGCCTCCCTAATGGAACCTAAAGGCCATGTTCGATTTCTCACTGAGACTTTTGACTCCAAAAATTTGAACGCGAAAGGCAGCGCTTCCATCTCTCCTCGCCCCCATTTCTATCTACGCCCACCTTGATTTCCCTTCCACCGTCGGAGTGCGCTTCGCAATGCTATAAGCAAAGGTTTCCGCAACGACTCTGCGTCTTCGCCATGGATGGCTTTGCTTCCCCTCGTACATTTTTGAAATTCTAGCCAATTTCGCGCTTTCTAAATTGGCTACTCGAAATAAGCGCGGCGGACTACCTTAGGTATGCAAGAGACAGATGCAATGAGTGTTTGCCGAGCCACTGCTTCTAAGGATGAAAGAATTCTAAGGACGCTCCAATTTATTATTAGGTGGACGGATAATTTCTGTTACACTTTTTTTGTAAAATTCTGAAAAATTCTAGAACTACTCTAGAATCTTCAGAGTTGCTCCATATTTAGGCCACTTCAGGGCGCACACAACAGTAAGACCGCTGCCGCAAATACACAAAAAGCTAGCAAGTTTACTATAAGTTTACAAGAACACTCAAAATTGCCATTATTTCCCTGATTTTTTTTCCTTGCGCCAAATTGTGTTTTTTCTCTCCTATAATCTTTTTGGAGCATATTTTCGCATTGCCTTTTTTATAGCACTACTTTGGTGTCGCTGGCACGCCAAAACAAAGGGTGAAAACAAGACAAGAAAATCAAAAAATTAGCCGAAAATTTTTCTTTTCGTGTGCGTCGTGTAGTGTTTGATACGTAAAGGTTGAAAGTAATTTTTGTGAATTTTTAAAAATTGTTCTTCATGTTGAAATGCGAATGTGCGCTGACATGGCGCAACATGTAGCTCGCGTGATCGTGTGCGGACATAATTGTGCCATCTCCCTACATTCGCTCGCTAAAAACTATGGGCCATACCCTGCCCGAATACCACGCCGCCGATCCCTTTCTGATCACCTGGAGGAATGCCAGCCCGCTGACAAAAATGTCCATAACGTACTCCCACGAAAAGTGGGTGTTTTGCGCAGGTACCGCGGATCTGTCAGTGCCGGCGGGTAGACCTTTGCATCCTTTCAACACTCCTTAAACATAAGAATTTTTGGATGTTTCTTAGATTTTTAGAAAATAAAAATAAAAGTGTAGCAGAAATGATCCGCCAACCTTACTAATTATTTTTTTATAATTCCAAATTTGCGCTCAGGAGCTGCGGCGCATCGTCGATGGTCATGCTAGCTGTCATCACTCGCTTAAATGGAAAGAGTTTCAAACCTGACTGGTTTAGTCTAATCTCCAAGGTCTCATCTATATGTAGGAAGGAATAAACTATAGATCTCCTTTACTCGTGAGATGTTTGAGGAAGCAAACTTGTACAAAACCTTTTTCGCATTACATTCCTTATATTGCTAGCGTGTCTGATTAGATTTTTCTAATGCAGCTTTGGAATTGTTTTTCCAAACAATTATAACCAAAGTTATTACAATTTTTATTACTATTATTCACCATCAATCATTATTACATCTTTCCTGTAATGTAAATTGCAAGCTAGTCAGGTTCTTAATTTTGTATTCTATCTCTGTTATGTTTGGGTGGGGGACTATATGTCGCCGAATTTGGAAGAGTCCCGCGCGGATTCCCTGCAGGAACGCATGTCCGCGCATGTACAAGAGTGCATATTTGTCGCAAATGACCGCGGGGACCGCCTTTCGGCGACATATAGTCCTCTACCCGTTATGTTTCAATTACTGTCCTCAAAACTGTGGATCGCTAAGGCTCCTACCAGAGTGCCAGAACTACGCCATCGCTGCGCCAACGCCGAGTTAGCGTTGCGACGGTGCAGCGCTGCCGATGGTCCCGACACGATTTTCAAGTTTGAGTGCACCCGGTCAGGAAAGCTAGAACTCCGCTTTTTCGTCTCTTTTCCCCCTTTCCGCACCTTTTTCTTCTCTCCATGTTCTTCTTTGTCGGCTTTTCTTTCTGTTGTTTCTTAATGTTTTTTTTTGGTCCAAGGAACGCTTTCTCTCGGTGTTTTTTGAAAACAAGTGGTACCAAACGCTTTTGCACGACACTTGCAGCTGTATAGGTGTGATCTCCTTTTCTACTGCCCCTTACGTTTGCATCTTTCTTTCTAAATTAACTCGTCAGCATTTCCAAGTCAATTCTTTTCTAAAACTTTTGTTGTGTGAAAAACGGGCAAAGTTTCGTTTGTCGCTCCTTTTCTGCTGATGAGTTGGTTTCCAACCTGTACATTTGAAGACTTCCAAAATATTAGGTGTTACAGTTTTGAATACATGGAGCTGGACGCGGCTCTAATGTCGGTTTTTCCTATAAAAGAAGTGCTTGTCGTTTCAATGTTCTCTCATGGTTTTGGCGGTTTCAGTTTACCCGTTACCGATCATAGAAGCACTTCGAGCTACAATTACATAATTCTGACGCTCTGTGTTTTTCGCTTGTCAAAAAACTGAGGGCCAAACCGAAAGGATAGAGGTTGTTTCAGATGCATTTAACATCGGCGCGCATTCTTATAAATTGTTTAGCGATTGCTTTTACTTTGCTTGCCAACAGGGAATTGGCTGTCGCTGAGCTCGAAAGCATTTTTTACAAGAGCTACGTTTACGACCATTTTTTAAATGTTATATCCCTTGTTTCGCTTCTTTACAATAATAGAGGTTGCATAGAGCCACTACGTGGCCGGCAGTTGACGGAATTTTGTGGATGAACCTGAAAATAGGCAAAGAAGAACGTGGAGAGGGAAGGCACAAAAGGCGGAAAAGGGGACGAAAACGTGAAGTTGTGGCTTTCCTGGCCACGTGCTCGCACCTTGCGTTGATCGAAAACCGCTTCGGGATCCTTGGCAGCGCTTGTCGGCGCAGCGCTAGCAGGGCCCGGCACAGATCGTCTAAAAGCAGGCTGGAGTTCGTTTTTGGAGCAAGAAGCAAAGGAAGTATCTTCCGAGTCCCGTTTTCATGAAACCTGGGCATGTGCCGTAAGTTCAAATTTCTTTTGTGCCGTACAGGTTTGAGAAGTGGTCTTTATTTCTTCCACGGCCTTACGTTTCGACGCCTTTCGTCTTCCTCAGAGGCGTGAATGGTTCTAAGTGTCATGGGACCGCCACGTGGTTCCCGCTATGTGCACATTTTTGAATTGCGCTTACGATTCTTTATACATTAGATTACTACCAAGAATCATGAGATGAACAATAAGAACGAGTGTTTATCAATAACTAGTGACTTCCTCCCGTTGTATCATTATGTGATCTATAACTGTAGACCATCTCGGTGTATCTACAGTATGATTCACTCGTCTGCCGCGACTGCCTATTTCCGGTGCAAACTACTCGAGTTGCAGTGGTCTTCCGGTATGTCCTCTACAATGACATTTTATTCGTTAACGAGATTGTGAGAAGGTCGAAAACTAGCAGAGTTGGAGGAGACGCTTGGTGGTCTGGAATTACGGATGACACTTAGAACCATTCAGGCCTCTGAGGAAGACGAAAGGCGTCGAAACGTAAGGCCGTGGAAGAAATAAAGACCACTTCTTAAACCTTTACGGCACAAAAGAATTTTGAACTTAAAGGAAGTATCGTTTGTGACGAGTCGGGGCCGAGCACCAAGAATGAGCGTCATTCACTCGAACACAAGCTTTTCGGACGGGTTATGACACCATTGACGTGCTCTATCGTGTCGAAAAGTGCGCGCGATTTGAAAGCAAGGCTAAAATAAACAAATTGCTTGTTTACAGCGCACACAGATCTCATGACACCAAAACTGAAATGTACACGTAGAAAATTATTTTAAAAAATGCAAAAAAATTTGAGAACTTATGTGAAGTATTATCTTTTTCAAAATTAGTCCGTCCTCAGACGATCACCAGGCGATCTGAATCGTCTGGAGCATATATTTCTGTCACTTCACTTAAGTTTTGATAGTCCTATCATGGACGGATTCCCCGGTCAAAAATCTATCCCTGAGCATGAAAACATTTTCATATCACTGCCTTTCCTCTGTTTTTTTCTTCATAAATCGCTTTGTTAAATATCGCGCTACAATGCCAAACTCTTGTGCATGCGTGGTATTCAGCTCCAATCTGGATTTTCAATCTTTTCTCACGTTTTTTTCAGACTAGTAAATCTTTCTTGTTTTCATCTTGTCCTAAGTAGGTAGGTCAAGGGGGACTTCGTATAGCTTCCGAAAGTCAGGGGAGACTTCGTTTTCGGAAACCCTAGAAACCGACTCGTGCCAGGCCCTGAGCTCTAGCTCGGCGCTAAAACGGCGCGCAACGCTGGCGTAGCTCCGGCATTCAGGCAGGAGCGTAATCATACACGTTGCTGGCAGATTATCAGTATTCATTATTCAGAAGTGTCGTTTACTACTGCAGAAAATCCTTTGCAGCTATTAACTTAATATTTGCCATTATCCGACATGACAGCTGGAAAGGTAAAGGGAAGTGGCAAAGAGCATTCGCTTCAATTCACCGTCAATCAAGTTCCAAATTTGGGCAATTTGCTCTTGTTTGGATTTCAGGTGAGGCTTCCATTCTTTCTTACAAAAAAAAAACTGCACAAAATTGGTTCACTCCTATAAACACCTGTACTGTTATAATAACTTTTTAAGATTTGCTAAAAATCAAGTTAGTCTTATAATGGAAATCTTGGGTACGCCACTGCTGTATAGGTAGAGCATTCAAATTATTAGGACGTATTCCATTGCGGTATTTTCTTTTCTGTTCCGAAACCTTGTAGAGGCATATAATAGACAAACAAAAGATAACACTGTAATGCTCAGTTCACTCACTTCAAGTGCGCATTTCTTCTCGGTCAGTGCAAGACATGACTGCGCTTATAAAGCGTTGCCAAAAAGAAGGACAATTCGAGATTCTCTGTCTTACTCAAAGTGATTTAGTATGACCGAAATAAATTAAAATTTAGGGGGTATCTGAGTCTCCGAATAAGCTACAAAACAGGTTGAGGGCGCGTAATTTTAATGAGTTGAATATTATTCTAGACACAGAGAAAAAGCACATCCACCAGAAACTTATATGTATAAATTATTTCAAAATGTATGTTCTCTTGGAACATGCCTTACAATACATTTGACAAATCGCACATTCAAGCACTGTAACTCCTTTCAGATAGTCGCCTAGACTAGTGCCATATTTGAGAGCAGCGTTTCAAGGCATGTGTGACAGTGTACGCTTTCCTAGATCAGCCATAAAGTTGCACTTTTCCTTGTATGGTGACAAGCACTAAAACACGTAATAATTTTATCATCTCTGCGAGCATCAGCTTTGCTTTTGAATGCCTCATGATAACTCAGAACTAAATTGCTACTGGATGATCTGGAATCGAAAGTAATAATATAGTTTCATGAAGAAAATTCTTGGTACGAAGACGCCATTGAAATTACTCCACTGCCAAATGAGTTTATGTTTCTATTTCAATGTTTATTTTTCTATTTATTCAGCAAATGACGTTGTGCTTCTCTGGATTGATCATAATTCCTTTTCTCCAATCTAATCTTGTATGCGCCGGTTCGTCAACAATCGAACTGAGGTAGGTCTCTTGCAATCCAAGGCGATAAAGATAGCAGACGTTAGGGTACGACTTATTGCGGCTTCTTTCTTCTCTTCTGGACTTGCAACCCTTCTGCAGACAACTTTTGGGTTAAGGTAGGTGGCACTTTTTTTGTCAAATATGAGTACGTTTTTTTGACACATAAACGACAATTGTACCACTTGGCACTATCTTTCTTATGTTCATGGAAAGATGAAGTTATGAGCTTTGTTGCGACGCTAGTGGTCCTTTGAAAACATTGTTCCAGCAGGGTTATGATAGCAGAAATTTGGGGGCGGGAGTTTCTCACCCGAGCCATAGTCTCGCATCTATGTGATGTGCCTGCCAGGCACATCCGGTCTCGCTACAATTACGAGCTCCTCAGGAGATCAACACATCGCAAGCCCCGCCCCCTTACACAGTGTCGCTCCAGATGCTGAAATCGGGGTTTCAAAGAAACTTTCAAAATCGAAATTAGGAAGTGAATATGCTCCAATCAAGACCAAAGGGGTTTTTGAGGTTGCTTTTTTCAGTAGTTAGATTTGTTTGTTGCAAAGTTAACGTTCAGCACCAACAATGCTTAACTAAGATAAAAATTCGGTTAGAGGTTTTCGAAATTTCTTAGGTTTGAGGGTTTTTGAAAATTTATGAATGGATTGAAAAAACATCCGTGGCATGGATTTCTACGAAATTTAGTCTTGGAAACCAGAATATGGTTGAAAAAAATAGATTGAAGCAAACTCTAAAATGACACCTGTGCGAAAATTATTCTTGTTTGAAATAAGTCAATTCGACTATAAATTTCTGCAGTTTTGAAATAGCCCGAGTTTATTTGAAAATTCCACAATTGCCCCAGTGACAGCCATATTTGCGATTCACGTGTTGTGCAGAGGTTTGCCAAAGACATAATTTGAAGTGTGAATAGAAAGCCGATCAGCATGCCTTGACCAATTATCCTCAGGCAAATAAGGGCGGAAAGCAGCTTAGACCAATTTTTCTTGTAAATAGCGGAAGAGTCTTTCTAGAGCTACTATGGAGCTTTCTGGCAGTGAGCCAGCGTCGGTGACCTCAGTGATCTCTGATATATCCCTTTTCAAGAAATACCTGGCTGGGTCATTATCAGCGCTGTACCTTGACATATTCTTAAGGTTGAATTCAGGTAAAGAAAACACTACGGAATCACATGCGCATTTCTGCATCTGGCTAAAATTTACGGAAGTAATTCGGTTTCTGTGGGAAAAAATTGTTTCCAAGAAATTGTTCAAAAAACCATATCTTTATTGTAATGCACAAAACATGTGTCTTCATGGAAAAAGCGATTTCGAGAACACGTAAGTCTGAACTTTGATTTTGATTTGCAAAACGAATTTTGATCTTGTTTTAGCATTAGCGGTGCTGAACGTTGACTTTGCAACAAACAAATCTAACTACTGAAAAGAGCAACCTCGAAAACCCTTGAGTCCGAAATTTGGTCTTGATCGGAGCAAAATCACTTCTGAACTTCGATTTTGAAAGTTTCTTTAAAACTCCGGTTTCAGCATTCGGAGCAACACTGGATAAGGGGGCGAGGCTTGCGATGTGTTGGTCTCCTGAGGAGCTCGTAATTGTAGCGAGACCGGATGCGCCTTGCAGGCACATCACGTAGGTGCGAGAATATGGGCTCGGGTGAGAAGCTTCCCGCACCCCAGAAAATTCCATGCCTAGATTGGAAACAACACAGGAAGCACGGAGACGTTCATTCGACAAGATAGCATGGCAGTTTTGCATTCCATCTATCAAAAACGGGAAACAAAATTTGTGTGGAAATCACACTTCCCCTCGGTTTCCTTCTACTATTAGAAAACCTCGGGCTTCGCAAGCATTTGTATATCTATATGGTTATGTGGTTTGCAGGATATCGTTTCGCCGTGAGGACAAGACCCAAAAGAGGCTTTGTAGGGCAACAATCTATTTAGACACGCCTTTAAAGGCAGTGTCCAAGCAAAAAGTTGATTTTGAGATTTTGTGCTTATCTGGGCCTATTCGCTATGCTGAATCCAAAAATCAACACTAGAGAGCGCGAAAATGGCGGAAAAAGGCTCTAACGGAGGATGGAAATTGCAGGCGAGCGGGAGTGTTCACATAGTGGCGTCACTCTCCCAGCTTCAGGAGCGATCTTCTCGCTTCCATTAGTCGCCTTAACATCATCATCAGCCGAGTGCGAAACGCATGACAGAAAATCGGAGCCGAAAAGATCGCTTCTAAAAGCCTGTGAGAGTGACGTCACGGTCAGAGGTGGGATAGGGGGAGCCGGGTCCCCCAAAAGTGAAGGTGGTTTCAGCTACCACTGGCCGGCCAAAAGTGAAGGTGGTAGTGTCGGACACTCACCTCCCAAAAACGTCGACGGGGGGGGGGGGGGGAGGTGCGGGGGGAGGATAGAACGGACGAACGGAGCTATCTTTCTAGGTCTAACGTCGACCCAACGGCCCTCTTTAGGGCCACAGATACGATGAATATTAAAAATATCTATAAATTTTATTCATAAAAATTTAAAATAGACGTGTTTAGTAAATGGTGTATTTGGAAGTAGAAGTTTGTTGGACTGTACGGATTTTATTAAGCAAATTTTGTTATAACGTACAGCGAAGAAAGTAGATCGATCCAGGCAGTAACGGCCGAGAATCAGAATTTCGAATAAATAAATAGTGAAAAATCATGCAAAATTTCCACTGTTATAAATCTGTTGTTTGAAGATGTCAGCAGTTGCGACTTCATAGGTTTTAAAGAGTAAATGTTGCTCTATCAGCTAGTGAAGGAATCTGGTCGATTTAAGAGATAGTCGTTGAAAACCAGAGTTCTAAAACTTTACGCCATTTTTGCGTGTTTTTTGACTGTTGAGAGTTAAACTCTTATAAATCTTGAATGTGGAAGTGTATGATGTTGCGACTTCATAGGTTTTATAGAGTAAGGTTTGCCTTATCAGAATATGTCTTGTCCGTTCCGATCCATTGAAACACCTCCGAGATCCAGAGTCATGAAAAAGCAGGTAAGAAAGAGCTTTTTGAACTTCAACAGCTCATAACTTCTTCAGGATTGCACGAATCATGTTGCGACTTCATAGGTTAGATTCTTCTCGTCAAGAGCTTTCAGATGATATATAATATGTGGGGGTTTCGCGCCTCTTACGGCATATGCCCGGGGGGGGGGAGACTTTTTAGGCCAAAGTCTCCCCCGGCAGCCTCCAGCCAATACATTAAAATGGGCGAGGGGGGGACTTTGGCCTAAAAAGTCTCCCCCCCCGGTCATAATTCGCAGGAGGCTCTAAACCCCCACATATTATATATCATCTGAAAGCCCTTGATGAGAGGAATCTAACCTATGAAGTCGCAACATGATTCATGCAATCCTGAAGAAGTTATGAGCTGTTGAAGTTCAAAAAGCTCTTTTTTACCTGCTTTTTCATGACTCTGGATCTCGGAGGTGTTTCAATGGATCGGAACGGACAAGACATATTCTGATAAGGCAAACCTTACTCTATAAAACCTATGAAGTCGCAACATCATACACTTCCACATTCAAGATTTATAAGAGTTTAACTCTCAACAGTCAAAAAACACGCAAAAATGGCGTAAAGTTTTAGAACTCTGGTTTTCAACGACTATCTCTTAAATCGACCCGATTCCTTCACTAGCTGATAGAGCAACATCTACTCTTCAAAACCTATGAAGTCGCAACTGCTGACATCTTCAAACAACAGATTTATAACAGTGGAAATTTCGCATGATTTTTCACTATTTAAATATTCAAAATTCTGGTTCTCCGCCGTTACTGCCTGGATCGACCTACTTCCTTCGCTATACGTTATAACATAATTTGCTTAATAAAATCCGTACAGTTTTGCTAAGCTTTACTTCCAAATACACCATTTACTAAAAACCTTTATTTTAAATATATATGCCGCCGTATACATAAATATATGCTTTCAATAATCTTTTTTGCGTTTGTTTTGCTTATTTTCCTTCTTTGTCGTCCAGCGAAAAATTTTTTATTCCAAAAGTGAAGGTGGTCACCCCGTACCAGCTCAAAAGTGAAGGTAGGGGGAGACTTGGCTCCCCCTATCGCACCTCTGGTCACGGTGTGGACGGCCCCGCCCACCCGCGATTTCCCTCGTGCGTTAGGGCCTTTTTTGGCGTTTTCGCGCTTTCCATTGTGGTTTATCGGATTCATAAGCACAAAATCTCAGAATCGAATTTCTGCTTGGACACTGCCTTTAAGAACAGACCAAGGGCCGCATGCACTAACATCCCCACGGGGAGGGGATCGCAGCTCAAAAGAAAGTTTTATATTTTGAAACTCCAGATACCTTAACTCCAGATTTTACGTTGTGTACCTATCTGTAAGTATTCCTACTACCCTTCACTATGAACATGTTGAAGAGGAGCGAGAAGCTGCACGAACCGCATTTTCCAGCTTTTGTATGATCCCTGATGATCCCCGGCGCTTTTCTTCAAAGTCATTTTCCTTTCTCCGAAGTTAACGAAAAACCTCCAAAGTTGTGCAGATTGTCCAACCCAACACTGATAAGCATGTTGCTGATAAGAACAAATGAGTTTTCGAAAAGTCGAATTTTTCGGTAAACCTCAAATTTCGACCTGTGGATCATCGAAAATTTCATGACTTCAAAACATCATTTGTTCTTATCACGAACATGCTTAGCACTGTCGGGTTGGACAATCTGCACAACTTTGGAGGTTTTTCGTTAACTTCGGAGAAAGAAAAATGACTTTGAAGAAAAGCGCCGGGGATCATCAGGGATCATACAAAAGCTGGAAAATGCGGTTCGTGCAGCTTCTCGCTCCTCTTCAACATGTTCATAGTGAAGGGTAGTAGGAATAGTTACGGATAGGTACACAACGTGAAATCCAGGTATCTGAAGTTTCAAAATATAAAGCTTTCTTTTAAGCTGTGATCCCCTCCCCGCGGGGATGTTAGTGCATGCGGCCCCAAGACTACTAAAGATGGTCTCATTTTCCTAACCGAAACAAATAAGCAGGGTTTCTCTGGTATTCGCAATAATATTGCTTCCTATCGTCTTATTTGGATGACTGTGTTTTATGTTAAAAACCACTATTGAATGAATCAAATTTCTTTTCAAAAAGAAAAAAATTGCGCAGCTCATAAAGCCAATGGTATCACATCCATCCGCTTTGCAGCCTGAAGGTATACGGAGTTTGACTGACTACCTTTACTCCGTTTGACCCGGATGCATTTGAATGAAGGTAATAGACGCTTTGCTTGGCCTGCATCATAGCAGTTGAGTTATCGATTTGTTATCACTTAATGATGTGATCGGAATGACCGATGTTAATTCAACCAACGAGCGAAAGGAATAATAATAGGCTATACTGAAGTACTAGGAGTTGGTTTATTACCACTACCGATCGCTCACATCATACCTTATGCTCCCTTCGAACTTGAGTTAAAGCAGGTCGGCGTGTTTGCTATGTATGAAAATTACGGTGCTGCTTCCTTCTGATTGTTTTCTAAATTTCTCCGTGAGACTTTCTTTCTCTATTTTACGCATATCAATGCCTTCCTCTTATTCTGCTCGATTCGTTTTGAACGTTTATTTAATCTTGAACTAATAAGTCTAAAACTAGTGTAGGGCGCTGGGAACGCACATAAAAGAAGAAAACGAGAAAATATGAATGTAAAAAACGTAATTCTAGCGAAAATACGAAAGAAAATTACGGTTGAGACACTAGAGGTGGCTGACAAAGGGCTTGTTGCTATCGCAATTGCATGTGAATATTGCAAAACAAGGCGGCTAATATGTGCTACTTCTTAGGTTCTCCACTTTTAGATTTTTGAGATTTGACTACTTGAAGACTATGTATCCTGCATGGTCCGTCGTTTTCATTTATACCTCCACTCCTCGCCTTCGCTGCAATGCCAGGAAATCATTGCTCGGCGGACTTAACGACTTTTGTTCCAGAGGCTGAGTGGACAGCAAAGATTCGATTGGTATAATCGCTGTTTGAGGTTTATGTACATGATTTTCGTTTCAATTTACTCCAGATTCAAGGCAGCCTGCTTATTTCTACGCTCACTTTCCTGCTTTTGGGAACAACTGGCTTCATAGGGCAGATTGCCAAACTCGTTGGACCTATCACCGTTACCCCGCTACTGTTGTGGTTATGTCTTGGCGTTGTGCCGACCATACACGAAAAGATGAAGCTTCATTGGATTTCTATAGTGTATACAGTACAAAAAGACTTGTAATATTATCACTAGTCAAAAGTCTTCGTTTCAGAACATACTGCCTTCTTGTTGCTATGGGCGTTTTTCTTGAGGATTTTCGCGTTCCGCTACCCTATTTTTCCCTTGCTCGTAGAAGATTGCGTGTGGGGAGACTACGAATTTTTGGACAGTTTCCTGTTGGTTTCATCAGCAAAGCTCCCTCGAGATCATGTTCTCAGTGTTATACTTCAGTATTTAATAGCAATCACGGCTGCGTGCTTCATATGTTATCTACTGACTGTCACTGGAGCAGAACCAGAAGAAGGCGAAGCTAGAACGGATAAAAATCAGACTGTCGCTATCATCGCACGCTCTCCTTGGTTCCGGGTGCCTTACCCAGGTAAAAAAATTTGATTTCAAACAATCTCACTTAAATCATCCAATGATGTAGAGATCACTTAATAACTGAATTGATGTTTAAATTACTTCAACACTTTCGTTTTATGAAAAACGATTCACATTGATGATTTATGTATCATCGACTTCAACAACTCTATAATCATAATAGCTTACGGTCATTCCCATAGGCTATATTCCCCAGCCATTCATAGAGTGCCGAATCACTGACCAATAGTGGCACCTATCTTCTTGGGGCCATGCCAAGCCGCCGCATCGTCTTTCAATTGTGTATATTCCTCATGCAGCTTGTTGTGCACAGGTCAACTCCGCCTTACTACCTATATAAAAGGCCCTCGATTGTATTATAAATTGTTCCCCTTCCAGGTGCAATATCTGTTCGTCTTGTTGATAAATATTTCAACTCCACTATCTCAAACGAGACATTGGTTTCCACCAAAGTTCATCTCAAGCTAGTAAATATACACTAGAAGCAATCACAATGAGTCATATTGCACAACTGCACAGACAATGTACCATAATATGCTCCTCCCTCATGTTACTTTGTTCTTCTTTCCATGAAGACAGGTAAATCCAAAAACTCGCAGCGTTTTTGGCTTTGATAATAGATCTATGTCAGTCCACTACAGATATACAGGGTGTCTCAAAAGTATGTATACAATACCGCTCACAGAATGTGCAAAATTTCCGTTAATGTCGCAGAATTCCGAGAATTCCGCGAAGGTTCGCGAAATTCCGGGAATTTTGCGACATTTCCGGAATTTCGCGACATTCCCGAAATTTTGCGAAATTCATGTAAATCACGCAAATTACGCAGGGCCATAACTTCGTTCCGAATGAGTATATTCAAAATCCGAAAACAGCATTGTATTCAGCTCGTCAAGGCGAATCTTTTGGTATACAGGTTGTCTCCAATATCCTCTTTTCAATAATCTTGAATCTGCATGCGGACGCCTTTTCGCGTGGGTGTAACGCAACAAGCATCACACATAGGAGATTGCGGCCAATAGATTATTCTGCGCTAAACAGCAGCCGAAGACTCTCTTTTAAAAGAGATAGAAGAGCTGTTAAACTCTGGAAAAATCAAGCTGTTCCAAGTTCTACTAGCCGTAACTTCCTTCAGAATGAATATCTTCGAAATCCGAAAACAGTATTGTGTTCAGCTCGTTAAGGCGAATCTTTCGGTTTACAGCATGTCCTTGAAATTCCATTTCCAATTTTTTCAAAATTTTCTGCGCGCGTATATTCGCAAGGTCGCAACGCAGCGCACATCAAACATAAAAGACTCCTATAAGCACTGTTGGATTGTGCTGCTCCCGTAGATTATCGAGCGCTAAAACTGGAGAATCTTTTTCGAAAAAGATAGAAGAGCTGGTGAATTCTGGAAAAATCGTGTTGTGTCAAATTTTGCCCACTGTAACTCTAAAATGGGAAGCTCTCCTGCTAAGCAGATGTGCCTTTCGTAATCAGCAGGTTAGATAACCTCTTTGAGCGAAGTTTCCTTATAATCCAAGATCATCGACATTTTGACCAAAACCCATCGGCGAGCTTCAGGGCGTAGAACGAGAAAAAATCAAATCACCCGAATTTCTTTGAAAACTTGCTCATAGAGGTTATCTAACCTGCTGATTACGAAAGGCACATCTGCTTAGCAGGAGAGCTTCCCATTTTAGAGTTACAATGGGCAAAATTTGGCACAACACGATTTTTCCAGAATTCACCAGCTCTTCTATCTTTTTCGAAAAAGATTCTCCAGTTCGTTTTTAGCGCTCGATAATAAGCAGCACAATCCAGTAGTGCTTATAGGAGTCTTTTATGTTTGATGTGCGCTGCGTTGCGACCTTGCGAATATACGCGCGCAGAAAATTTTGAAAAAATTGGAAATGGAATTTCAAGGACATGCTGTAAACCGAAAGATTCGCCTTAACGAGCTGAACACAATACTGTTTTCGGATTTCGAAGATGTTCATTCTGAAGGAAGTTACGGCTAGTAGAACTTGGAACAGCTTGATTTTTCCAGAGTTTAACAGCTCTTCTATCTCTTTTAAAAGAGAGTCTTCGGCTGCTGTTTAGCGCAGAATAATCTACTGGCCGCAATCTCCTATGTGTAATGCTTGTTGCGTTACACCCACGCGAAAAGGCGTCCGCATGCAGATTCAAGATTATTGAAAAGAGGATATTGGAGACAACCTATATACCAAAAGATTCGCCTTGACGAGCTGAATACAATGCTGTTTTCGGATTTTGAATATACTCATTCGGAACGAAGTTATGGCCCTGCGTAATTTGCGTGATTTACATGAATTTCGCGAAATTTCGGGAATGTCGCGAAATTCCGGGAATGTCGCAAAATTCCCGGAATTTCGCGAACCTTCGCGGAATTCTCGGAATTCTGCGACATTTACGGAAATTTTGCACATTCTGTGAGCGGTATTGTACACTTTTGATTAATAATATCTCTTTTCCCACGAAGTTTTTTACCTACCTTCAGTTACCATTTTGTAGAGCAGGTTTCAGCTTAGATTTACAGTATGGAGCAAACCATCGATCCCTTCCATCCCTGTAGGATTATGGTGGCAACTTATCTTACAGCGTCATTGTGGATTAGTCGTGTTTTGAAAAAAATTTCCAAAAATTTAAAGTGGTTATCACGAACCTTACGCACCCTGATCTCATTATTCAACATCTTACAAGGAAAGGATACTTAGTCGAAAGCGCCAATCCAGATGAGACACATATCATCTTAAAGCGCTTAAAACGCTGATTCCAAATCTGTAGTATATAGCAGCGGAGCTGTTTTGGAGAAGGAGTTATGAGGGATGTTTCCCTTTGGAGTTGAGGCGCCCTCCAGCAGGTCTTCCCTTACCCTACTGGTACCAACTGGTAGCAACTGGCTAGTGGTAAGTAATTTGAATGGAGATCACATTAAGGATTATAATACTCCTATCACTTTGATTTTTTAACACTTCCACTTTCAGTTAGCATCAACATCATCCGAAATTTCAGGCTTTAGGGCTCTAGAGCCATTTAAAAGCTCAAGAATTGCGATAAAGTTGCATGCGAAGGGGATTAAAACCTTGACACTCTCCTTATCAAGCAAGGCACTTACCACTAGGCCACTTGCCACTAGTTGGTAGTCCTCTACAGTGCTCATAGATAAGGGGAGATCTGCTGGAGGGCGCCTTAACCCCAAAAGAAAACATCCCTCATAACTCCTTCTACAAAACCGCTCCGCTGCTAAAAACTACAGATTTGAAATCAGCGTTTCAAGCGCTTTAAGATGATATGTGTCTCATCTGGATTGTTGCTTTCGACTAAGTATCCTTTCCTTGTTAGAAGTGTGTAGAGCTTTTCAACGCAATCGCAATTTTAGGGACTGTAAAGACAGCTAGTGCGGTTTACCTGCCGTAAGCTATGAAGGAAGCATTGCGATAAAATGCAAAGTTTGTGATTGTTGCGAAAATTAGCCTAGTGTAAAAGTTTCCAGGTTGTGTGGTTTGCTTTCTGAGGAGAAACAGCGCCGCCAATATCTCAAGACGTTTCCTGAAGTTCCTCCATAATCCTACAGTAATGAAGAAAGATCGATGATTTGTTCCATACTGTAAATCTAAGTTGAAGCCAGCTTTACAATACGGTACCTGAAGGTAGGCAAAAAACTCTAAGCGACGAGGGATATCGAACGATCAAACAGTGTAAAGTGCGGTTCATAACTATACGAACACCCGAAATTCTGTAAGTTTTCGGGCTTTTTGTGAGAAACTCAAAAAGCCGTTGGCGCCACGCGATAGAAGACAGCCGAAAACGGTATATGATCCATAAGAATGGAAGTCGATGTCAACTGTAGGAGTATTTTTGCGCCTAGCGAATTTTTAGCGGTTCAAAATTATACGAACACCTCAAACGAAGGTCCATTTTTTATTCAAGATTGCAATCATGTGAGTCCAAATTTTTTGAAAAGTTACAGTAACAAAGTCTAACATACCTGCTACACACTGAACTCAGTGCAGTTCAAAACGAGGACCGTTACTTTTTTTCAGAAGGCTCTAAATGCTTTTGGAGTGATTGCGCTACAAAAACATCCGTTCTTCTGTGGTTTACGCACTCTAATTAGCTTCTACCAAAGCTATGAGACAAAATAAGTTTTTTTAATAGGTATTTTGTTTGACGCTTGGAAAATCTTTGCGTTTTCGTGCCGTTTTTCAACCAAGTTCCAACCTTACCACAGAGTTAGCACGATTTCGAACCTCGAAACTCAGCTTCTCTATTGTGCAAGCATTTGATATGAAGCAGCTGCATTGTTTGCATGATGATGCCAAAGTTTTTTTCTAAAACTGATCTTGCGGCTGTGGAGCTACAAATCAAATAAAGGTGTGACTGCAATAGTAAAAACCTATTTCTGGTGAAATGTCGTCTGCGTGACCAAAACAAACGCTCAACGCTGCTGATTTTGTCTGGCCAAATATAAAGTCTTGTGAACTTCTACATACTACATGCTTACTTCATTGTACGGCTCCAGAAGCTAAGTTTCGAGGCTCAAAATCGTGCTAACTTTGTGGTAAGGTTGAAACTTGGTTGAAAAACGGCACGAAAACGCAAAGATTTTCCAAGCGAAAGAAACAAAATATCTATCGCGAAAGCTTATTTATCTCGTACCTAGGTAGAAGCTAATTAGAGTGCGTAAACCACAGAAGAACGGATGTTTTTGGAGCGCAATCACTCCAAAAGCATTTAGAGCCTTCTGAAAAAAGTAACGGTCCTCGTTTTGAACTGCACTGGGTTCAATGTGTAGCAGATAGGTTAGACATTGTTAGTGTAACCCTTCAAAAAAATTAGACTCAAATGATTGCAATCTTGAATAAAAAATGTACCTTTGTTTGAGGTGTTCGTATAATTATGAACCGCCAAAAATTCGCATTAGGCGCAAAAATACTCCTACAGTTGACATCGGTTTCCATTCTTATGGATCATATACTATTTTCGGCT